ACAGGGTCACGGCTCTGCCACAGATGAGGACGTGGCCGAGGCCGCTTCTGACGCCTGAGGAAGGAGACGGGCTTCAGAGAGGGCCTCAGACCTCCGCAGTCGGCTTTGCTGCTGGCAGGCAAGTCCTCCGAAAACTTGGTTCTTCCCGTTAGCGTGGACGTCCCGCCCCTCGTCTCCCATCCTTCTAGATGTTTAGAATAGGTTTATATTTTAAGAATCCAACTATCCACACAATGGTGTAGACAGACTGGAGCGGGGGTAAAAGGCAAGAGGGAAGGTTGTGAAGAGCAAAATCCAAGCTTGTCTAGTAGTTACCCCGCTGCCCAGATGTCCACATTCCTGACACCTGTGGGTAAGCGTCTCCCACAGCATCTTGTGGCGTGTCTCTCACGTGGATCAAGTAGAACTTGTGCTTCCTCACTTTTTTTTTTGGAGTGTCAGTTCACTAATGGGAAGATGTGTCATGGAAAGTACAGCTTTAAGGTACAGAGTAGAGTTCTGCAGGCCATGCTTTCTTTTGTTTCCAAGTTATGTTTACCTTCTTCCTTTCAAATATTGAAAAATAACGTATTATTTTCGGATGAAGGAGGGGGGGAGGGAGGCGTGGCAGAGGAGGAGGAGGAAAGAGAAAAGGAAGAGGGGGTTGGGGAAAAGGGAGAAGGAAGGAAGGAAAAGTATCCAGGGGGTTAAGAGTTAGGTTAAAAGTTTTTGTTTATTACAAAACATCAAGCCTTCGACTCCTCCTCTCAGGGCAAAATAACAAAGAAAAAATTCATGAAGCATCCTTGCTCTGCAAAAGCAAAATGAACAGAGGTTTATATTTTATGACATTTTGAGATCAAACGCATTTGCCAGCGGCTCCCGGGGAGACGGAGGGAAGGGCTGAGCGGAGAGACGGGCAGTCCGTGTGGCACCAGTGGGTGACGCTGATCCAAAGGAACCGGGAAGTCCTAGATTTTTAAATGCTTTTTTTTTAATAAACAAAAAATAAAAGAGATTAGGACCAATTAGAATAGGAGGTAAAGGTGTTAGAATTAAGATTGTAAAACTCTAGGAGCTATGTTTTGGCTGAAACAAAATAAAAAAGTGAACTCATGTGAATTGAGACAAAATAAAAAAGTGAACTCACGTGAAGAATCAAAAAGTGGGACGAGGGCTGGGGCAACAGCGACAGGCTGGAAAGTCGGGAAGAGGCTTGTCTCGTGGCCGTCCCCGAGCACCTCCGGGAAGAGGCAATGACGCTGGAGAGCGCTCCCCGACTGTGACCGGGAACTGCCCCCGGCCCTGACTCTGTGTTCGTATTGGGTTTCAGGCAAGTCACTGACAGTTTCGAAGCACCCATTTCTTCTTTCATGAGATGAAGTGATTTGATTAAACTGGGTGAAGAAAAAAATCGAAGGGACTGGAATTTTAAATGTTAATCTATTTTGATAGGAAACACATTCTTAGAATATTCTTTGTCATGAAAGAAATAGAATGAACTGGAATCGTCTGTCAGCGTTACCTCATGAAGCCATTATGAAGGTTAGAGTTACTTTGTAAGATTTCTTCTGATGAGAGAGTGTATGTTCGTGTTTTTAACTAAATGAGAAGTAATCCAGATTTATGCTCACTTTCAACTAATAACCTGGCATCACAGAAGCATGTGGACCTCTTTACTCCAAGTGTAACATGTGCTCTATTTGGTACCAACTCCTCACGCTTCTGTGCTTGGTAGTTAAAGCACAGGCTTCCACCATTTTAAATTTCACAAAGAAAATCAAAGATAAAGCAGTGGTCACAGTTTGGTTTTTTGTTCTGCTGTTTGGCTTGTTTGCTTTTGTTTTGTTTGCTGGTTTGTTTTCTCTTTTCTTTGCAGATGACGCTGTCAGGAGGGCACCACGCTCATTTAGAAATCTTTTCGTTTCCCTCCCTTCCTCCCCTCCCTCTCTTCCTCTCTCCCTTCTTTTCTTTCTTTGTTGCTTTATTTTCCTAAGAAAAAATGTTTAAGCAAGGGTAGCTTTAGATGGAAGAAAGTGTTCACCGATTTGTGTGCGGGGCTTCGAGGCACAGTTGCTAAATGACCAGCGAAAGGGCAGCATTTGCTTTGCACGTCTGCTTCTGAACCTAAGGGGGAACAGTGTGTTGCTCCTGCTTGGAAAGTTTAACTTCAGGTTCCTGAAGACTTTCCTTATGTTTCCAAGGTTCTGTAACCTTGCACTTGAACCTTCTCTGCTGAGAATTCCAAAGCAAGCTAGAAAGCCATAAAATAAGAGAACTGCCGCCGGCCCCAGGTCCAGCCTTCTTCCTGCAGGGAGATATTTGACAACAGCCCCGATTTATATTTTTATGTATCAGTCTCCAAAAGCTTTAAAAATGTAGAAACCAAGGAGGGGGTGGGATGTTATCCCACAGGACACGTGCAAAACCTTGAAAGTAAGTCGACTGAAATCAAATCACCAATCTTTGCTCACTTGAATATTTCTTCAAATAGAAGGGTTTGGTCGCTCTTGGAATAACCGTCAACTCTCCACCTGAGGCAGCTTCTTCACGTGCAGAACTTTGGATTTAACGTATTCTCTCTCCCCACCCCCCCACCCCATGACACACACAAACTGTCCAAAAGAAGAAATGTCATGTTTTGGAAAGCTATCCTATTTACAAGGATGGAAATATACTGAATTTTAGGAGACATCTGTTTTGAATTTCTCAGTATACTGTGTTTATTTTTATTCCACGATTTCTCCCAGAGTATTCCAGATTTGTGATAATGGATGTACATCTAATTTTAAAATTTTACTGTCCATTTCAATAATGTATATTTAGTAACCACAGAGGTTTGCAAGAATTGTACTTTCGGTATAATACTGGCTTTAACTACAGTAAAAAGTTATATTTAAAGCAGTAGGGAAATTGAATCCTTTGCCATTACTTCTTCCATTTGCCTCGAGCTGTTTCCCATAATAGCAAGGAAAGCTTATTTATCCATATCTTTTGCCTCCAGTGGACATTTTTAGCTTTTTGATACTAAACTTTTATCCCAAAGAAACGATAATATTTTTTCTGGAGTGTCCTTGGCTGTTTGCACTATCGTATGGGAAAGCTGGTAACTGAGACGAGCTCGTGGAAAGATACTTGATGAAACTCGTCTTGTTTGTCAGAATTACAGCCTTGTAGTTTGGGTCCATAAGATTGTGCTTTTATGGTTTCTTTTTAGTCAGTATAAGTCAGCTCTCTTTTGTATCATTCAGGTGATCTTAACATAACTGAGTGTGTAGAATTGAAAATGTGAAAGAAACTATTTTTAAATGAATATTCAGGTCAAAACCTCCATTTAGTAAGCCATTTTTTGTTACCCTAAAACAGCAAAAAGAATTGAGGGGATTTTTTTTGAAAAGTTATTGCCAAAAAAAATTTTTTAACCAGAAAATAAAAGCTGAAAATAGATGGAAACATACTATATTTTGATAGCTCTCTCCAGAATGACAGATTTTTCTCAGTGAATCTCCTTATGGGAAATATGCCTTCCCTGTGGTAAAGTATGAGATATGGGAAGCAACTAATTGGATTGCTCAAATTAGTCAATGTGTTTGAAACTTTTGGGGGGATATTTTGCTTTTTGGGTAACTATATAGTGCCAGTTGTTGTTTTCTGTTCAGAATTTCTTCTTGTGAACAATAGGCAGAAATCCAAAGTAACATTAAAGAAATGCCACGTTAGGCATAATATGATGACCGCAGGTACACAGGGATTTCAGCAAGGAAGCGGTACTGAAAAGTAAGAGCGATAACATGATAAAGAATGATTATTGATTTTTTAGACGTTAATATGAACTGGACTTCATAAAAGCAAAAGAAGTTTTGGAAAAAGAAGACTAGAATCAATGATCTTACAGTATTTTGAAAGGTCTTTCTAATGCTGTCTTTTGGGGAAAAAGATCTTCTAGCTACAATGATTTTAATAAAGCAAAAAACCCCGAAGGCTGGGACATTTTCCTTTAAAAATATTGAAATTGATAGCATCTTAGTTATTAGTAGGTAAGCCTTTGTGTTTCTTTAAATTGACTGCAAAGCAAATTTTCCGTTTGCTAAGACTTTTTGTAAATGTCAATTGCATGTTAAAATGACTGATTTTTGGGTGAACGTGCCCCTGTAACATCCATCCACACTCACTGGCCTTTCAGAATTAACCCCCTTAGAAGATGTCACCATAAACCAGGGAACTGTTACCAATCACGTTTTGGGACTTGCCTTAAAATCCAACCCCACTGACTTTTTTTAGCACTACTTTCCAAAGAAACTGAAAAATGACAACTTTCTATCCTGTAACGATTCGGTTTTCAGAAAAGCTGAAAAACCCTTAACGTTACAGTTTGGTGCATATAGTAGCAAATCAGATTGACTTACAAAGATAGGAATGAAAAATTAAGACTAATTTTTACCTGTGCTTGATAAAATACCTCAGACGGTCATTTTGGTGGACAGAAGCAGATTCTCTTCTTCTTTTTTTTTAACTGAGCCTTTCCTCAATGGGGAAACAGTATATAGTTAAAATATTTGGATACAAGGTCGGTGGAGGTGCAAAACTCACTGCCAAATGTATGTTTTGGTGAGAAGACAAGTAGAAAGACTCGTTTCTCAGGAGGACTTTTGTCGAATCAAAGCACATCACTGCTTCTCTGCTTTCCCTTGTGAAGCCTTTCACTAAACAAACCCAGAACAGTTAAACGCTGGGCCCTCCCAATTACATTTTCCCTCATTTTGTTCAACAGAGAGAATAGAAGTGTTTTCAAAGATGAGAATATTATTGGAAGACGTATGCAGTTGCTCGAAAAGTACTTTAAGGGCTAGAAGCATGTTCACGAGGGGAAGTTTATAGAATGTGTTATTTTCATGCATATCATTAAAAGAAAATACATGGTCTGCTGCACGGTAGAGTAAAATTCCTAATTTAATAAAACACTTGATTAAAGAACAACCGCCACAAAAACCCCTCCTCGTCTGAAATTTGGCCCTTTGCAGTGCTTGATACCAGCGACCCTGGTGGTGGCCAAGATCTCCGATGGGCGTTCACCTGTTGGAACTTCTCCCCGACAGGTCTTCGGGGAATGATTGATTAGCTTCTGTGACCCTGACTTTAGATTCCAGGACATCCAGACACGTGGCGCCCCACCGTGGAAGACAGCTGTTCACACACTGTTTTATATCAAGTCAGGTAAATGAGTGGCTGCGGGGGTGTAGACTGCGTCTGGTGGAGCAACGGGCTGTAGCCATGTGCCTGAGAGTTAAGGAAGACACACGCACACATGGAACACCGACTGTATTCAAGGAAGTACGTTGGATCCTCGGGGTCTGTAGATGATGAAGAGTCAGTCCCTGACCTCAAGGGTCGCACTGTCTGGTAGGAGAACAAGAGAGACGCCCATGCCAGTGGCTGGTGTACCTATTTTTCACTTTTAAAGGGCCTGTCACATAGAAAAAGATTTAGTATCAAAACCAGAGTTCTCCATCCCCTCGGGTGCTCGTCCTCAACCTCCCACACTTACTCTCCTCGCTTAAAAGTTCAATGGCAGATCCCAGATGGCCTGTGAGTCTCAGAGTATCTGCACAGAACATCGTTTACATTGTCTTCTTGTACAATTTTGTTTCAGAAAATCCTCAGCTAGTAAATTTGGTCACAAAAAGTGTTAAAAATAGATACAAATGCATTGTACACCTAGAATGAGTGGGGAGGAGCCACAGACTCAGTCACCGCCCAGCAGCTTGTCCCAGGCGAGTCCGTGTTTTGAGTGTCAGTTGAGTGTAGCACTCAGTGTTTTTAGAGAATAGACGTCTGTCTCCATCCTATGGCTGCATGATGTGTTTATTTGTACAATGATCACCATCTTTTCCTTAAAGCATTTAAGGTACTTGTGGGCAGATCTATACTCTTGTGCCTGAAATTCTTTGACATCTAAGCTTTTTGCTTGTCCTTTTTTTTTCCCCCAAAATTCTTGCATTCATTAGATCCTTTTCCAGAAGAAACCTAACAGTATTTGCATTTGTGTAATTCTCTCATTGCTGAAAAGCATTCGTTTCATGGCTGGAATGTTGCATCTGTTCAACGGCCTCCAGGCAACACTAAAAACTAGTTTTAAGACAGGAAACTGGGAAGAGTTGTGTGTTTAACTGGAGTTTCAGAGGGGATATAACGAAAAGCACCTACATTGACTTTGATCCAAGATTATCTGGTTAATGCCCTCGCTGATTAAAAACTGTGAGCTCTGAAGCCACCCCGTTATTAACGGTAGATAACAGATTGTTAAGAAAGTTCCTACCACTGTGTCATTGTGTCTAACAGACATTTATGATTACTGCAGGAGAGAGGTAGCTTGTTAATTAAGTCCAAAAGGAATAATTCTGAAAAATCGGGCACAGTTGTCACACGGTTTTGCCAGAAACTAAGTGTTTTCTCACTGGCTCTGTGGTGGTGAGCAGTGCCCTTACAGAGTTCTACAGAGTGATTTCATAAAGATCGCCTACATCAGATCATAATTTTCCACAATTACCTAATAACATCAAAGATGGTTTAACTCCATCTCTGATAGACATACATTTATCAGGTGGTCCTTTTTGAAAATTTAAGCCATTCGATTTTCTGTAAATAAGTCATTATGAAAGGAAAGCAACTCAACAGTGAAGATTTGGAAATTTGAGTGGAAGAAAACCTTTCTCCCTATGAAGTCACTTTCTTCTTTCTCTCTCTTGCTAGAAAAGTCTTTTAATATATAGTAATTTCTGTCTAACTTTTTTCAGAGGAGAAAGTTATAAATATAATGAGTTGTTTAAAATTGTTTAAATATCTGGATTATTGCTACACATTTAATAAGGGACATTCTTACATTGGTACAGAGATAAAGTAATCTCTGAATGAAGTCTTTTGTCTTTTCTCTCCTCAATTATGATTTCGAGGACTTGAGTTGCCACCTGGTCCCATTGTTCAAGGAACAAGCTGATCTATTAATATTTCTTAAAAGAAAAGATTACTGTGAACTGTTAACTAAATGCTGGAGTTTTGCCTGTTTGTTCTTTTAAAATGTAGACTGGAGGAAGTATTAATGAAAGCCTATAGAATTATTATCTTTGACTAATGAAAATAAAAAATAGAATAAAAATATACCAACCATAGAATCACTTGTCTAGAAGAGGTCATTAGTCAGGGCTCAAAATCAATGCATCAGTCCTTTAGACAATTAATCCAAACATATATGGCATCTATTTGATGAATAACTTGTGCTAAGATTTTTCATTTTCATAAGATTTATTGAGCACTGTGATACTTAACTTTAATGGACTCGAATTCTGGCTGGAATCCTTTCTCAGCGCACAGGTCACCTGCAGAGAGGAGCTCCTGGCTGCGTGTTTCAGGAAGGAACCGGGAAATGTTCTTGCATGCCCAAGTCTGCTTTGGATTATTCATTCTTAAGGGTAAATCCCTATAAAAGTGATTTTGGTGGTAAACCAAAGTCCATGTAATGCATATCAGCACTTGATATAAATTTTTTATAAACTTCCATATTTTCCAAGATAGGATTCCATATAGTATTAAAGCTGGAAAAAATAATTTTTAATAGAGAGGCAGCTTGGTCCTTAAAAATGATCAAGTTCTGCTGATCTTATTTATTTTACATTTCTATATAGAATGGACCTTTATAGATTCTTTATAGAATTTATAAAAAATGATAACTACTTTTATTTTGTATTTTTTATTGAAGTATAGTCAGTTACAGTGTGTCAATTTTTGGTGTACAGCATAATGTCCCAGTCATGCATATATATACATATATACACACATATATTTGTTTTCATATTCTTTTTCATTAAAGGTTATTACAAGATACTATAGTTCCTGTGCTATACAGAAGAAATCTATGTTTTTTAAAACCCATTTTCACATATAGTAGTTTGCAAATCTCAAACTCCCAAATGTATCCCTTCCCACCCCCTTTCCCCTGGTAGCCGTAAAATTGTTTACTATGTCTACGAGTCTGTATAACTAGTTTTATATCATGAATTTTTTCTGTTAAATCCCCATGGATCATACTTTGTAATACATTTTTGTTTACTGTTTTTCATCCCCCTTTCACCATCCTAATCAAACTTTTTTTTTTCTACAAAGTCAGTGCTTACTAAAAACTCACGGGAAATAAAATGGTATTATATACATTGTTTCACACACGCTGATGTCAAAAACATTTGGTATCCTGTTGATTGAAAGAACAGATGCTTGTGTAATTTATGGAGCTAGAAATACAGTCACAATATCTTCCCAAAATAGTAACGTGTCCTAATAACATGGCTAGTGGGCAGTGAAGTCAAAACCTTGGGCAACTCAAGGCTGCAGACCTGATTTTGAGTGGAGCATAGACAATTTGAAGGATGTTTTCAATATTCTAAAAATATGATTGTAGTCACTCAGTTTATAATATAACAATATAATCACAAAGTAGTGCTTGTTTTACATTAAAAAAAATCCCAGCATATTGTTTCTGTTTTATTTTTCTTTTTGGATTATGCATATCTTGTCTTCTCTACTGACAAAGTTTAAATAATCCATATAAGCAGGAAGTCAAGAAGTCTACTTTATTTTAAAAACTAGTATGTTTCCTAGAAAAATCCTTATTTTCTATAACACACATGTTGGTCTTAATTTTCCAAGATGAATTTATGCAGGTAATAATAAACCATGATGAGACAAGTTGTGTTACTAACACAGTGATTGTGTTCACTGGGGTTAATTTTTAAATTATTTTGAGTATCAGTCAACATATCTATCCTTTCCAAACTAAAGGATTACTCAGCCATTCCTGCAAAGTCTTAGATCACAGACATTATATTTCTTTGCTAAAAATAAACACTGCTTAAAAGGACGTTGGCACAGTTTGTTGAAGTCACGGTGGTTGTACTATTGACAAACGGTTCTTCATTATAAAAAAAAAAACAAAAATAAAAAAATCGAGATTCAACCATGACTTGAATTTCTCCTTATTTCAATGTTTACTCCAAACTCAACACTATCCTTGTGGCTGTTTCTACACAAAGGGTTTATTCTGTTAAAAAGAAACATTTTCTTGTTGATCAGTTCTTTAAATAATTAATTATTCATAAAGCAATAGCTTCAGTAGCTCAATATAATACAGCTACAAAATAAGCTCGTGGGTTTGGGAAAATGCCATAATGTATATATTTTCTTTCCTTTTTTTTTTGCTTCAGGAAGAAGTCTAAATTTCAAAGCAAAGCAGCCCTGACGTATTTTTCCAGTAGACGGGCTTTGAAACATTAAAGCATATGAAGATGTGATGAATGTTCAAATATACAGTAATACTGAAACCCTCGTCCAATTCTGTGCAGAGCCAACAACATACTTATTTGATTTGAAATAATGTATGACATTAGCTCAAGGACAAGAAATTTATCCGCAAGGGGACCAGGAGACGGCATCCTGACCTGACCGTGGTTGCCGCGCTCTGTGTTAACGTCGGCGGCCAGACAGAGATGCACTGGGTTCGTCAAGGGTTCCGGACTTCTGGAGAGCTTGAGATTGAGTCTGACTTGTAAGTCAGCATCAGCCCTCTGGGGAGGAGCCGCCTGTCCTGGAGGAGCTCACCCTGCCTGTGAGTACCGCCCCAGGTGAGGAAGCGCCGCGGCGGAGGGCCATCTTACTGGGGATGTCCTCGTGCTGGTTTTTAAAAGGTGATATATCTTGAGGCTATTGAGAAAAGAAATCTGACTCTTCTTTCTCTCTCTCGCTCTCTCTCTCT